AACAACATTAAAATATGACTACAAAGGGAAAAAGCAGATCTAAAAAACATATTTTAGACTGCATTAAGGTCTTAATGAGTCTCTGTTAGAACGAAGATGACTCTACGTGAGTCTTTGTCGCATTTACTATTGCCGTGTACTCTGGTGGTTCTCATCGACTCACTCCCATTTTCCCCAGATCATCTCTGAATGAGCCTCTCCATATTTTCCTAGGCCATCATATTGCTCTTCTCCCATCTGGACTTTCCCAAAAAATCATCTGTATATCACCACATATTAGTTTTCGAACAGACTATCTAATTCGTTGTTATATTAATTCGTTTGGCACACTATCTCTGCAAGGGCAGAATATAAAAATCTGAAGCCAGCCCTCGAAGGGTACCCACACCAGTAATTTATTAATTTTTTTTTGTTCTGTCCATTTGTGATTAACAATATTAATTGTTAAAATCTCATCTTTCAATTCCAAGTATATATAATTGATATGAGTAATTACCAGCTAATCTTAGTTATATATATATATATATATATATATATATATATATATATATATATATATATATATATATATATATATATATATATATATATATATATATATATATATATATATATATATATATATATATATATATATATCGTTAGGAACCTAATAGAAAGAAGCATAGGCACGAGGGAAAAGTAGTTTAGCATTAATAGATCTAAGAACAGAATTTGACACGATAGAAAAACAAATTATAGAAAATGCTTGAGGAAAATAAATGTACCAAATACATTAATAAAAATTATAGAAAGTACCAAGTAGTAAAAGGAAGAGTAGAAATAACAGGTGAAAGATCGGAAGAATTTAATTGGAAGGGAAGTATTAAACAAGGAGATAGTCTCAGCAGTTTGCTATTCATAATAGTAATGAAAGAATTGATAAGAAATACTAGAGTAAGAACCAATCAACTACAGACAATAATAGGATACCACAATAACAACCGGTAACAATAAAGGCCTTAATGTATGCGAACAACATAGCAGTAATAGCAGATTCCGAGAATATAATGCAGAAACTAATGGATATATGGGTAGAACAAATAGAAGAACTAAAAATGAAAATTAACGAGACAGAAAGTAAGATAATGAAAATTAGCGGCAAAGAAGATAATGAAACAAAGATAAAATGTAAAAACTCTACTAATAATTAGACTGGGAAATAACAAATAGAGCAAAGAAATCAAACAAGTTATACTAGGCGTTAACCCCAGTACTGAAAAAAAGAAAACTAACGCGAGAGACAAGGATAAAAATATATGACACAATAAAATGTCCAGGAAACTGGACAATTCTGGAAAAACACAAGAACACGATAAATGCAATAAAAATGAGATATCTAAGAAGAATAGTTGAAAAGACGAAATGAAATAGATTAAGCAATGAGACTATTAGGAGATGGGCCGACCAAGAACCAATAATAAATAAAATAGCAAAGAGACAAATGAACTGGTATGGGATATGATGGGGATACAACCCAACATAATTACAAAAAAGTTTATGTAACAAAGAACATGGCAAATAGAAAAAGAGGCAGACCAAGAAAAAAAAAACGAATACAGCAAGTAGTAGATGCTGGAAAAGTTAAAGAAAAATCACTCGAGGAATTTAAAGTAATGACAGGAAATAGGAACGAATGTAAGAGATGGGTGAATAGAAATTAAAATAGCTAGCCCAAATATGACACCCTGATAGGGTTTGAGGAAGGGGAGAAAGAAAGAAAGAAATATGGTCTTCCTGTTATGACTTATTAAGATCTGTTTTTAGGGGAAATTATTGTGACTTCTTAATGTAAACTCTCTATATATATGATCAAGTAAAATATACTACAATTAATCGTTATCAAGAGAAATTGAAGGCTAGGTTGATGAAACTCATTAATACTATGCAAAAATCTATTTGTATAATTAATAAAGTATTATTTATAATAAATACATATAATGTGCATATAAAAAGTATTGTGAATCGTTAATCAGGATTCTATATTATGTTGTTTGCATACAAAAAGTGGATAATTATATAAACTGTGGATTGCGTAATTACCTGGAAATTTTTTGTTCGGTTACTTATTATTCAAGTCTAAATTGAAAATATGAACAATGATACTGTATACCATTGTGTTATATGCAGATCTATAAATGTCTTTTAAGGGGGAATGTGCATATATTAGGGGCCTACAGGAGTCACTGATTTGTTTTTTTTTTATTTGTTGTTATAATTTTCCACTTAACTTACGATATGTAATACACCAGGTGCAATAATTAACTAGTTTGTAGTTGTAACTAAATTGACGTGAATGGGGAATGTCGGATGACTTTTCTCTACAAGTTCATAATGCCATTAGCACAACTTATTACCTCCGGATCAATTTGGTTAGAATCTCGTCAGTAAGGCAGTTGGGATATATTCATCTTTAGTCGCATCTATCTATCTATTTGGTGATTTTATTAAGTTCTTCTTGTTTTTCATTCTTAATAAGCAAACTGCTTATTCACTCTTGGGTATCTTCTAACATTTCAACCTGTCACACCAGCATTTTAAACGTCGCCCAATGCTTCTTCGTCCTATTGGCGATTTGTTTCGAGATATTGGTACTATTGTGTTGTGCGTATATGAGAATGTTACCATATCATAAATCCACAAGGAAAACAATTCCTGTAGCTGGCTGTATACCACGTATCACAAAAAAAAGAGGTTAGTCTTCGTAAGTGGGTATATTTATTTAAAAACCCTTAAAAGGGCTACATCAAAAAACAAACGTTTTCGGACTAAACAGTCCATCATCTGGTTTTAAAATCGCCTAAAATAAGTATAAACCATTTAGTTAAAACAAACGTGGTTATGAAATTTTGACTATGATTAAAAAGCAAAAAATGGCTATACTTACTAGGTTAAAATGCCTGAGCCACCAAAAATACATGGGTAAAAACCCTTTAAATTACATATAGTTATAAAAGAATATACATCTTGTTGTTAAAATACTGAACATCACAGTTTTCGTCCTCCTAGTATCCCCATTTCTTCAGGTTACTAGCACAACGTGAAACGCTAGTTCTTAGTCTGTTTAGTGCTTTTCATGTTGGATACGGCAAATTGTGTCCAGCGGCCATTTCCTCTGAGGAAGCAAAATGTGTTGTAGCTGACGCTTGCCATAGGTGTATTCGGCGCGTCTTTGGATCTTCGGGAAGAGATCGTGATTTTTTCAGAAAGCTTTTCCGAGATCTTAGTCTACTTTCCTGAACTTGGTGGTCATACAAAGTGTGTCTTCGATCAGTCTCCTGCTTCTTTCGTTCTATCTCTGACGTGACCTGTCTTCTGATAGCAGGTGGAGCGATTCCAACTATAGGGTAGACCTCTTCGATAGGTGTCGATTTCAGGCAACCAGATATTATACGAACATTGTCATTTAACATCGACGTTTTTAGCGTAAGCAGAGTTTTCGAACACTGGTGCTCCAAACTCGGCGACAGAAAAACATAATACTAGGGCACAAGTACGGAGAATATGGTTGTGCTAACCATTTTGTACTTTTAGTTTGCGGATGATATTATTTCTGGCGTTTACTTTTTTCTTGACATCTTGACAATGATATCGAAAAGACAGAGTTCTATCCAGACGTACGCCGAGGTATTTTGACATCTCATTGTGCTTCAACATCTGACCACGCCATTACACCTCTAGTGTCCTTCGGGCATGCATGTTTCTAAGGTGGAAAACACACACCTGGATTTTGTAGGATTGGGTTTTAGATGGTTTTCGTCATAGTATAGTTCTAAGTCTTCTAGGGAATCCGTCAGTTTTACTTCGACTTCATTGAAGGTACTTCCCTGAGCTGCCATAGCTGTACCATCCGCGTAAATTAAATGTCTTGTTTGTTGGTTTTGGTGCGAGGACACTTGTGGGAGTTCATTTTTTTATCCCTCCGCCGACTGTTCTTGGACTGGAGCGTTACGTAGAAGCGTCTATTCTGGATATTCTGTAGATATTTTATAACCTTGTTGGTCGGACATCCTTTGTAACTTCGTAAAGTTTTACCAGCAGCCGTTGATGATTAACTGTCTGATAGGCCGCAGTCAGGTCTATGAACGCTACTCTTGTTATTTCTTTCCATTCAAACCCATCTTTAATATGTTGGGTGAGATTAAGAGTTTGACTGCAGCAGCATTTTCCGGGTCTAAACCCTGCTTGTTCATGAATAATTTTAGTGTCCACAGATTCACTGATCTGGTTCAGTATCATGTATATAAACATAACTATAGCTAAGTATATTTAAATACCCAGTGCAAGATAAACAAAATTTTCAAAACTGCGATTGAAAAATATTTTACTATTCGATTTTTTTTTGTATTTGCATTTGTCACATTTCTAACTTTCTAAAATTAACAATTTATTTACTCTCCAAATTATGAATTGGCTAGATATGTTTAAGTAACTTGCTTTAAATTTAATTAACATGCTCTCTTGGTGGCACAGATAAAATGGACACACCAGTTATAAGTTTAATATTTAGAATTAGAACAAACGTGAAAATATTGAACCAGTACTAAGCTTTATGTGTTTCTAATTTTTTTATGTTGAATGTGAAATTTGCAATTTGCGGTGAATCACAATATGAATACAGAGTAAAAAACCATGATTTGAGATAGTATAACAAATATATTATTTACGATTGTGAGATCGTCTAATATTTCATTATTGCTATGATTCCGGGATATTGGTTTAGTACCGAGATTTTTTAAGATATATTTGTCGTATGGCACCATCAGCACTTCGGATATATTTAAATGATGATATTAAGAATCATTTTAGCGTTACGTATCTATATTTCGATCAATTTGTTACCGACTGCTTAATAAATGTAAAAACGTATTATTTGTAAGAATATTTTCCTTAGAGATTGCAAAAAGTCCACCAAACTGAATTTACCACTTTAAACAATGCTGGTATCGCTTCTCTTGCAGAATTGATCCCGAGGCCGGCAAGATCTTGTGACGACCCTCCGTTATATTTGCGATTGAGAATGGGCAAACCGCTCAACAAAGTTATACCCAGATCTACGCCGCTGATGTCTTACGGAAAGAAGAAAATGAGACCCGAATACTGGTTTAGCGTCCCGAAGAATAGAATAGATGAACTTTACAAATTCATACAGGGATGGGTGCCTCATCTGTATGGTGAATTGGATGAAGAAAAGGTAAGTGTCTAGTAGATGATTTCAAATTTTTTAATTAAAATATTGTATCTCTGTGTAATCTATAACATAAAAGTCATGACGTATTTTTTTTATTAATTGTATATCCATGCATTCCTAATAATAATGGTTCCATTATACTGGAATATCTCCCACAAATTTACTGAGATTTTTTTTACATGGTGTTATAGAAATGTTCACAAAAATTCGCTGTCTCATGTTCTTTAAGAGGCTATTGGAAATGACACCAGGTTATAATACGTTTCGTCTGGATACTGTGCCATCAATCTAGTTTTAGAGTCTAATGTTGCTTCTCCACCATCACCAGTATTTAATATTCTATTTGCTGAACTAAAATTCTTTATTAGTTGAATATGGCGAAGGTATTTATTGGATCTTATCTCATGTCATCATTTGGTTCTCACCATCGCTATGTCCACAAATGTCTTCGAGAGTTTTATTTTTAACATTTTAATTTTCTATCGCTCTATTTTATTGACAATCTACAGTTTGTATACATAAAGAAACACCAGATCTCTAGTTTTTTTGTTGATTTAAACTATTTTTTATTTTTCGTTCAAATAGTGTCGTGATTACTATTGTTTAAAAAAAAAAGACATTGTTGTGAGAGTTTTAAATTCATATTTATCAGTGAGCTAGTAATAAGAGTAAATTTCGTCCGTTTATCGACCTCCACAGCTATTTTTTCGACCCTGACTCATTCGTTTGAATTTTTTTTAATATCCATATATTATGTTCTTAGTTGTACCTCTATTTAGATAGCGCTCAATTTTTCAATCAATTAATCAATGGTATTCTGTCCATTTTAAGTTTTGGCATTATAGAATGCGATTATACGACCGAAAATCATATTATAAATGTTTTTCTCCTTCTGTTTATGTCGTTGTGCTACCATACGCAGTTTATTCTATTTACGCCTCCCAGTTCCGCTTTTTGGTAGTCTCCTAAGCCAAGATTATCTAACCGAATTGTTATATAGAAATTGTAACGGTCAAAAAGAAGATCAAGCCCCACGTTGGGCGCCACTTGTGTTACGTTAAAAAAGCTCATCGTTGGCAACAAAGATGTTACGTGGTAATAAGCCATATACCTTTGACAAAAATTTCCAAGAAATACTGAACTGAAATACAGCTAAACTGCAAAGGTGGGCAGCAGTAAATCTTAAGCGGAGTTTTATAAAGGACTCAAATTCTCAAAATATACGAAATCATTACATAAGCAAAACTATTTAGATTAACTTGCTTACCTATATAACGCAGAAAATTTATAGTTAATCAAATAAAATGATAAAAAAATAATAAACTTGTAATAAACAAAATAATAAACAAAAAAATGTATTTATTCATTACTATAAAACGAGGAATATGCTGCCATCAATAATCTAATATCTAAATAAATTGTGGTCCACGATCAAATCCAAAATAAGCGATTATTCAAAAAGTAAATTAATCATTAAATCATTCCTAAGGCGAGAACTCCATGTTTTTGTACAAAAGTGAAGAAAAAATGCAAAGAAAAGAAAAACGCTTACCTGTAATATATGCCAACCAAAACACAAGAGTCATACCATAATTACAAGACAATTAGAAAGGAAACACGTGCATACAGCAGAAATTACCACAAGTGAAGAACTAAATATAAATATACAGCGAGTTCGTAAAATACTTGAAAAACTGAAGAACAGAAAAGCAGCAGGTAAACTCGGGGTACCAAACTACTACCCTACTACGTAGGGGGTAGAGTTTTCGTAGTGGAAGATCGTGCAGAGATGCAATATTCGTCATTGCTATTCGTATCGTTGAAGCTGTTGCTCTAAATAATTGGTTAGATGTGCACTGGATTCAGTCTCTTAAATTGCGCAGCCAAGATATACGTCGCCTCCTCACGCTTCGTTTGCCCTGAATCTTTCCTCGGATAATCAACTGGAGCAATCGGTACTTTTTACTATAGGTACTGAGAAATCCTTATGGTATAATAGATCAGCATTACTGTCTCTGATTGACTTAAAGAACGCATTTGACAGAGTAAGACTTCTTTAAAAAGAAGTTAAAATACTCTGTTACGCAGACGACACAATATTGATAGCCCAAGATGAAAATAGTCTGCAAAGACTGGTCCACAGATTTAACATAAGAGCAAAAGAATTTAATATTACAATATCATCTCAGAAAACTAAAACAATAGTAATCAACAAAGAACCAACCAGATGTAAAATAGAAATTGATGGCATCAGTATTAAACAAGTAATGGAAATAAAATACCTTGTAATTACACTGTCCAGATATAGCGACCTGAAAGAATGTAGAGATCCAGGATGCATTATAACACTATATGGCGAAACCTTAACATTGAGATGAATTCAGGAATTTATAAAGCCAGTATAAGACTAATAATGGCATATGCCTCAGAAACAAGACCCTATACAACCAAAACACAAAGGCTACTGGAAACGGCAGAGATGAGAGTACTGAGAAGAATTACAGGAAATACGCTGAGAGATCGACAGAGAACTGAAGACATTAGAATAACATGTAACGTACAGTGTATAAACGAATGAACACTAAATAAGAAAAATAATGAAATTACCACAAGAGCAGAATCGGCAGAAGAAATATCGGACGACCGCTTAAAAGATGGAGTGCATAGAGGTATTAATCCGCAAATGAACAACCATTATAAATTGGAAGAAAAAGAAGAACTTCTTGTAAATTTACAGAGAAATTCCTGGTTTTTTACGTTTATCCTTTGGAACTCCACTAAACAAATAAATATATTTTCCCATGATTTCTGATCCATTTCCTTTGCGTTTTATTTGGGAGTATATCAATGTTGCATTTTTAAAATTGTTTGGTGACTTTTGCTACTTTTATATTCCGTATTTGTATATTCCATGTATGCATATTCATTCCGAGATACATTTGTGTTTGCAAATCAATCTTTGTTTTCTTACGATTTAATATGTACTAGGTTGCTTAATTCTAGTGCCATAACCCCCTCCACAACCTCCTCTTTGTGGACCTTTACCTTCTAGACTATCGCAACTGATTAATTACTATTTAACTGGGAATAAGCCACAATTAAAGATAAAAATACGTTTATTGACGTTTCAATTTCCACTTCGGAAATCGTTCTCAAAATACAAACAGTAAATTAAACAAATTTTGTTTTTTGTTACATAGTGAAAAATTCTAATAATTTAATTTTATCTGACTCATTTATATTGACAATTCAGACATACATTGTGCATTTTAAAGTAGACGACTTTAAAATGATATTGCCAATATTGTTGAGTTGCGCTCCTGGGACGACTTTACTTATAAGATAGTTCATTCGATTACATGAAATCAACTTTAACTTGAAAATACCCGTCAAAAAAAATTATTCGATTGAACCCTATGTTCATTATTCCATGCGTGTTTACATATTTGAGATCTATCAAATTCAAATTCAATATTCAAATATGGAATAATTCAAATGTAGTCCTAAAAGAAACGAATGGCAAAAAAAGAAAAATCAAAGAAGCGGCTCTAATTATGCTAAATGAGGACAATTGTGTCGCAAATTCCTCGGCAGAATGTAGTAGGATCTGGTTACCAATATTGAAAGAGGAAGTTATTAATAAGAAAATACCAGTATTAGTAAGTCAGTAACATATAGAGGATACATCATTTATGTTTTTTAAATAACGAAACATATAAAATCAGAATTTTTGTGTTTATTGAAGGTAAACTAAATGCACGAACAAATACTTACCATGTCGGGATAGTATTATGAGGTTTTTTTCCTGGTTTTTCCCTCATAATTTACTATGGATCACTAACAGGAGAATTTTACTGTCATCATGTCATGTGTTTGTCTTTTTAAAGACGAATTACATGCTATGATTTTTTTTCTGACGGATATTCTCAAGTTAAAGTTGATTTCATGTAATCGAATGAACTATCTTATAAGTAAAGTCGTCCCAGGAGCGCAACTCAACAATATTGGCAATATCATTTTAAAGTCGTCTACTTTAAAATGCATAATGTATTTCTGAATTGTCAATATAAATGAGTCAGATAAAATTAAATTATTAGAAGAACTTTTTACTATGTAACAAAAAACAAAATTTGTTTAATTTACTGTTTGTATTTTGAGAACGATTTCCGAAGTGGAAATTGAAACGTCAATAAACGTATTTTTATCTTTAATTGTGGCTTATTTTCAGTTAAATAGTAATTAATTTTAAATGCCACAAGAAAATAGCTTCAGAACAATATTATCGCAACTGAGTAATAAACTACATTTCAAGTTCTGCTGTTGAGGCTGTTGACCAGTTGTGACCTGCTCTTCAGGTACGGACACATACAGGCTGCCATCATCCAGGTCAACTGATAGTTCTCTATATTTTGCCTTTTCACCATTCGTTGGTTTATATTTAGTGTACATTTTAAAGTATTTTCTGATCACATTTCGAATGTTTTATTTTCAAGTGATTCTTTGTTAAATACTGAAAACTACCTACCGTTTTTAAAAATGCATATTTTTTGTCAGTAGCGATTCCTCTGTATATCTCCTATTTAAATTATAAAGTTGAATATTGAAGAGGCCCAAATAGTTTTTCTGTCTAAAACAGGTTTATTATTTTATGGAATATATTAACGCTTTGTTCGTTTTTGCATTCGTTCTATTTTTGTTAATGACATATGTAAGATTAATACCCATAATCATCTATTATGTATTAGTAAACAGATATTTTACGTTGTAGTTATCGATGTCAATAAATATTACAGATATACAAGCACCTAGTGCAATAAGTACAGCTGTACATTTCTCCTGTTATGGTTGATTAACACATAAGTACGTCGACGGCTAAGTGACAAGATATTCTTGTTTATGAGTGTTCATTCCGAAGTAGCTGTCAGTTACACAAAGTGAAATATGATGTTCATGAAATATGTATAAGTGCATAATACATAATTCAAAACGTGTAATGTTTTCAA